AATACAGCCATCGGACAAGCATTATAACAGGAAATGCAGGAATGATAGCTGGAGGATGGAACATCAAACAGCGGGGTCCTCCACTTGGCCTGCCAGCCCTGGCTGGGTCTGGAGAAGCCAACCCTCCTCCTAGCTTGGGACTGGTATTGGCCCCTCAGAGCAGGAAGCCTGGAGGGCAGCAAAGTGGAGCTCTCTCCTTATCCACACCTGTCTCTCCCAGGCGCACACTCCGGCCCAGGCTGGGGCCTGCAAACCTCCACTTGCCCTTGGCCTCCTCTTCCCACCAACCAACTCCACACACCCACACAGGCTGTGGTCGTCTGACCCACTTCCTCTCTCGTTTATTCATAGGTCTTGATGCCAGTGCAGGCTTTGAGGGAGGGATGGTGGTGCCCAAGGAGACCGCAGTGAACCATTGGTTTCGATGAGCTGTGAAGTCTTCCAACAGTCACAGGCGGCCTGAGAAACGGCTCCTGGCGGGCGGTGCAGCCCTGCCCCCTGCTGCTGCCACAGTGAAGTTCAGGACAGGTGAGCCAGGCCAGGCAGGGAAGTCGTTCTGGACTCCGTGAGGGGTTATTGCTTTTGAAAAGTCGTTCTGAAATGGAGTTCTCTGCGATCTCCCCTTGTTACGGGTTGAATTGTGTCCCCTCAAAACTCCTATGTTGAAGTCCTTACCCCCCAACACCACGGAATGTGGCCTTATTTGGAAATAAGTGCTATTGAGATGTCATTAGGTTAAGATGAGGTTATACTGGAATAGAATGGGCTTGTCACCAATATGACCAGTGTCCTTACAAAAAGGGGAAATCTGGACATAGACACATGCACAGAGGGAGAATGCCACGTGAGCGTTAAGGCAGAGGTGAGGGGATGCATCTAGAAGCCAAGGGAAGCCAAGGATGGCACCAACCACCAGAAGCTGGGGGAGGCCAACCCTGCTGACACCTTGATCTCAGACTTCCGGCCTCCAGGACTGGGAAGACGACACATTTCTGTTGCTCAAGCCACTCAGTTTGTGGTACTTTGTTATGGCAGCCCTAGCAAACTAGAATATCTCCTGGCATCTTTGCCTTTTTAACTGAGTCCAGTCTTTGAAGTGATGCACTTAAAGTTGGAGGTGTGTCTTAGCTGTAAATTGGCAAAGCCTACCAGCTGCCCCCATTTCCGTTCTCTCCTTCTTCCTCAGCAAAATGACCTCTGAATTTTTTTTTTTTTTTTTTTTTGGCTGCGCTGCACGTCTTGCAGGATTTTAGTTCCCCGACCAGGGATCGAACCCGGGCCCTGGCAGTGAAAGTGCCGAGTCCTAACCATTGGACCACCAGGGAATTCCTGACCTCTGAATTTTTACTGGGTACATGGCTGCTCAAAGTATAGTCTACTTCTCAGCAGCTGGGTGTGGTCTTTGGCCTAAGTTCTGGTCCCTGTGGTTTTAAGCAGCAATGATGTGCCACTCTGGGAAGGATCCTCAAGGGGACAGACATTCTTTTCCCCTTTCTCCTTCCCACTGGCAGAGCACAGACGTGATGGCTGGAGGGGAAGCAGGCCCCACTGGGCACTGAGCTGACACAGGCCCCGTCCTCACGATCCTCACCTGCCAGGGAAGAGTCAAGTGTAGTCCTGGGCTCCACCTTTTAGGAAGAGCACTGACAAACTATAATATATCTAGAATTATAACACAATGCTTGGGTCTCACCCCAGAGAGTCTGATGTAACTGAATCCACCTCCGTGTGATGAGGGCAGGACATGACTGTAGGAGCCTGAGTCTGGGACGACCACGGAGCCACCATGCCAGCCCTGGACCGGCTACATTCAGAAAAGAACATCAACGTTAGTCTTGTTTAGGCCATATTGTGGGTTTCTGTCCCTCAAGGATGAACATAATCCTAACTCATGTTAGAGCAGAGAGTTTTAAGACATGGTAAACAGCAGAGTTTTAAGATATGGTAAAATACATTAACCATAAAAACACCCAAACATTACTACTTTCAAACATCCACCCTACCTTTTTAGGTATGGTGAGGCTCTTTAAAAATAGATGATAAGGGACTTCCCTGGTGGCGCAGTGGTTAAGAATCCACCTGCCAACGCAAGGGACACGGGTTCGAGCCCTGGTCCGGGAAGGTCCCACATGCCGCGGAGCAACGAAGCCCTTATGCCACAACTACTGAAGCCCATGTGCCTAGAGTCTGTGCTCCGCAACGAGAAGCCACCGCAATGAGAAGCCTGTGCACCACAACGAAGAATAGCCCCCACTCGCCCCAACTAGAGAAAGCCCGCGCAGCAACGAAGACCCAACCCAGCCAAAAATAAATAAAAAATAAATTTATCAAAAAACAATAGACGTTAGGTCATTTATAAGTTATCTGTCTGAAAAAAATTTTAAATGCATTTGTAGACCAGAATCAACCAGAATGAGGTTATTAAAGCAACTGTGACAGTGTGTGGCCTGGGAGTCCCTTTGGAATGATGCTCTATCAAGTACCACTGAGGTTTGTAAAAACAGGCACATTTTACATCAAAATCACTTCCATCCAGAGGTTATAGTTTAATTTTTTAGATATTTTTCAAGCTTATTTGTTAGAAATCAGAGTTCTCAAATTTTATGAAGGATATTTTCATTTTGAAAACAATTTCCTAGACTCCCCTTGTGGCTCTGTGGTTAAGAATCCGCCTGCCAATGCAGGGGACAGGGGTTCGAGCCCGGTCCGGGAAGATCCCACATGCTGCGGAACTAAGCCCGTGCGCCACAACTGCTGAGCCTGTGTGCCACAACTACTTAAGGGGAGTTTGCTAGAGTCATAGAGGGGGCAACGGGAAATTTTAATATGGACTGAATTATTAGATATTATGACATTGTTTATCTGTGTGTTAATGGCATTGTGGTTACACAGAATACCCCTATTATAAGAAAGCATGCTCGGGGACTTCCCTGGCAGGCCAGGGGTTAGGACTTCGTGCTTTCACTGCAGGGGGCATGGGTTTGACCCCTGGTCAGGGAACTAAGAGCCCACATGCTGCATGGCGCAGGGGGGGGGGGAAAAAGCATGTTTCAGTATTTAGGGGTGAAATATGTTTGCAACTTAGTTTCAAATGGTCATGAAAAAGTGTATTAATCTAATTAGGCCACCATAACAAAATACCACAGACTAAGTGGCTTAAACAACAGAAATTTATTTCTCACAGTTCTGGAGGCCGAACATCCAAGATCGAGATGCTATCGATTCCATTTCCTGGTGAGAGCTCTCTCTGGCTTTCCAACCTCTGTGTCCTCACACGGTGGAGAGGGAGAAGAAGCCTCTGGCAGCTCTTCGTATAAGGGCACTAATTCCATAATGGGGACCCACCCTCATGACCTCATCTAAACCTATCACGTTCCAAAGGCCACATCTCCACCATCATGTTGGAGTTAGGGCCCCAGCATATGAATTTTAGGACACAGTCCAGTCATAGCAAAGTGTATACAGAGAGGAAGATAAAGCCTTTGTTAACAACCAGCAAAGGTATGGAAAGGGTATATAAGGTTTTTTTTTTATTAATCTTTCAACTTTTCTATATGTATGAAATTGTTCAAAATAAAAAGTTGGAGGATTTTTGAAGCTGCTGTTGACATAAAGCCTGGGAAAAGCTGTCACATGAGCACCGTCTTCAAGAATATGAAGCGCTAGGGCTTCCCTGGTGGCGCAGTGGTTGACAGTCCACCTACCGATGCAGGGGACACGGATTCGTGCCCCGGTCCGGGAAGATCCCTCATGCAGCGGAGCGGCTGGGCCCGTGAGCCATGGCCGCTGAGCCTGCGTGTCCGGAGCCTGTGCTCCGCAACGGGAGAGGCCACAACAGAAAGAAGCCCGTGTAAAGGGAAAAAAAAAAAAAAAAAAAAAAAAAGAATATGAAGCGCTATCCCATGGGAGAGTTTTCAGTGTTGCTCCAAGGACAGCGCTTGACCCATCGGTAGACAGTATGAGGCCCATTTGGTCTCAACGTAAAGAACGTTCTGAAAGCCGGAGCTATCCGACAACAGAAATGCTGCTCAGTCAAGAACTCAGCTGCTTCTCAGTGGAAGTGTTCACGCAGAGCCTGGAGAATGGCAGGGGTGCTGAGCAGAGGCCTCCACAGCAGGCTGAAGGCCAGTGCGACCAACTCTCCAAATGTGAGGCTACACAGGGACTTCCCTAGTGGTCCAGTGGTTAAGACTCCGTGCTCCCTGTGCAGGGGGCCTGGGTTCAGTCCCTGGTCGTTGAGCTAGATCCCTCATGCATGCTGCGACTAAGACCCGCACAGCCAAATAAATAAATAAATATTCAAAAAAACAAAACAAAACAAAGAAACAAATGTGAGACTATACACACACACGTGCACCCACAGCATACGACCTCTGACAAGTAGTCTTCCAGCACAGATTTCTTTCCAGAGATCATCTGAGAGCAATGTGGAGGAAAGAGCTGTCGTAGTTTGGATGTGCATCCGTGTTCACCTCTTGTCTCCCACAGGCAAAAATTACACATAAACTCAAAATTCATGCTATGCTCAGTGTCTCTAACGTATCAATCACCTTGGCACAAATCCGCATTCCAGCAGAACTGCCTGTGTGACCTAACCATGCCCTGGGTTTCGTGCTCACCACCCTCCCTCTCCAGCACCCCCGACTCCAGCCCCGGGCCCGAGTCCCCTCCTCTCCTCACTCCCTCCCAGCAAAGCTCTAACTCTGTTTCCTCCAAGTCAATCCTTCTTTTAAAGCAAAGGGTGTGGGTTACTAGTAGATCAAGACAAAGAAGCACAAACAGGTGGTTTGTTTTCAGTTGCCAAACTGGTCACCTGGAAAGGGCTTACAGTCTAGAAAAGGTAGTGAGCGGTGTGTCAGTTACCGCCAAGAAAGACCAAGCCCTGCCACTTCCAAGTGCCAACTCTACGAGCAGAAACACACTTCAACTTTATGATCAGGAAGAAATAATAAGCCCAGTATGCAAGATTTCCCCACCAACATCTGTCCAAAGACACACTCTTTCATACCAATCTTTATGTATTTATTCACACATTTGATAAAAATGTCACAGGAGTGAAATCATTACAATGACATAAGCAATTGTATAGACCAACCCCAAGTGCAGAGTCAAATTGCCAAAAAGCGTATGGGCAACGCCCAGCCCCTTATCACATGTGCACTCACACCACTCGCCCACGCCACCCACGTCCCAACAATCACAGGCGCTAACTTCCAACATAACCGAGGGACTCTTCCTGGTCTGTCAGGCCCTGGGGATGAGGAGAGAGACACAATCAACGAAAAGAAGCTGGGACTGCCGGATGCATCTCCCTGCTCTGCCAACGACGCAGAGAACGCAAGACTTGAAACACCGGGGCAGGCATTTTCCTTGGCACCGTACTTAGGCAACAGAAAGGTCGAGGGGCTTAAAGTTCGTCTCAGGTTTAGCTCCCCTTTCAACAACGCAAAAGGGTAGCGAGTGGGGTGGGGAGCAACCTGGTCATTCAAATTCTAAGAAATAAGGGGAGGGAGGAGGATTTGAAAGCTGTTCCCGATTCTCCAGTCAGACTGATCCCATCTGGTTGTGACTTTATCTGAACAGCGTAGTTTGCTCTTATTTTAGCTTAGAAGAGGAGGAAAAGCTTCTCAGAGGGACAAGAGGGTCACATAAACCACATCCCCCTCTATATTAGCACTTGGGACAAGCTTCCTTCTAGCTGTTCACACAGCTTGTCTACAGCTCTGAGAGCTCTAAGGGAGGCGCCCAATCCCCACTCCTCTGCCTTTAAGCCTTCCAGGACGGGCAAGTGCTTAGCATCCAGTCAAACCTGAAGTGTGAAAAATAACGCCTCAATCAAAATGGTGTTTTCTATACAGACTATGGAAAAATCCTATTCAACTCCCCAATTCCCACTGTTTAACACAAAGGTTAAAAAAAAAAAAAAAACAGAGCTAAAGTGTAACGTGTCGAGCATCTCCACTGACCCCATCAAAAACACCGATGATACAGAGAGCCACCGTCTCCCAGTGTTCTTGGTAATCGGCCTGCGGGAGGAGGCAACGACCCAGACGAATACAGCACACGAATACAGAAGAACTGGTCAACTCAAAGGAAACTGCTCTGGGTAGAGGGAGTCAATGGGGTGTGAATGGGAGGCCAAGAGTGATATTTCTCGGTCCAAACTTTATGTCCCTAAAGACAGGAGAAGGTGAGGACGAGGCACTTACGCTGCCCGGCAACAGTTCACACCACTCAACACCGGGACCGCAGCCAAGAGCACTCCCCACTATCCCTCACCGAAGACCAACTGTCCAGGGGGCCCAGCGGGACCTCCAGAGCCGAGGGACCCAGAGTGCTGCGGAACCGAGGCTGAGAATGGAATGTGGGCAGAGGAAGTAAAAGATGTTGTCCCCTCTGGCCTGAGGTGACAGGCTTGTTCCAGATTAGCTCAGCGAAACGCCAAATTTCCAAATGCTTGGCCTGAGGATATGACGATGCCCCCTCGGATGCGTCCTTCTTCTGTTTTAATAAACAGCAGTAGGGTTCTGAACAAGACCGGACACCAGGACTGAATTATCTTGCACTGGTGGTTACAGCAGACACCTTCAAATACACGTCCTGTTTGTTCTGCAACAGAGCGAGTGATAAGACACGGAGACAGGGCTAGAAGCAGCCTGTCCCTACTTATCTGAAAGTCCTTCAGGCGTACTCAATCCGGGCAGGGCCACAGCTACCCTCACTCTTCCGCTCAGAAGATGGGGCGGTGGCCTTGGCTTCACTACCCACTTCCAGAGGCTTAGACGAGATATAGTCCTTTACTTTGATCTCCATGTTCTTGGCTTTCAGAGTGGCCATGTGCAGCTTCTCCAGGAAATCTGGCATGCCTGTTGGGAGAGAGGGAAATCTGGGTAGACTGACACACAAACCAACAGTAGGCTCAAAATTAGAAGGGCCTATCTCTTTCCTGGTAAGGAGTCAGTGCCTCCTTAGAGAGATCACAGATGGACTGAGAGACAACCAAAACTTTTAGGGAGTGAAAACAACCCATGACCTCTGAGATCCTTTGAAAAGGGGTACTGATCAGGCCACATAAATCCCCAAAGGCTCTCTTATGTGATCAAAATATCATTTATCAGTGGCACAGCGTGAATATCTGCCGATTTTGTTCAGAGAAATGTCAAACGGAAACACCTAATCTCCTCTCCATTCTCCCCCCGAGGTGTAAGAAGCCGCCTACAGAGAACCAGAAGAAAGAAAATCACGTGAGGCTGCTTTTAAGGCAAGAGATTGGAAGGGAAAGATGCAGTCACAGCAGTGATGTGTAGCCTCCGTTAAGTAAGAAGGGTGATGGCCCCCTTTCTCCAGGTGACTGTCCTACAACCACATTTTCTATGCCAGATTTATGGCTTTCCACACTAAGAAGAAAAATGTTAAATGCATTAATGTACACAGTCCATATTAAGCAAATGTTCTTCAGCTTGCCTCTGGGCATAAGTTCCTTTTTGGGTCTCCAGAATTCTTACCCCTCCAAACCGCAGCTGGAGGCTTTACTACCTTCAAGGTAGTATTCAACAATGAACTCGGAAGGGCTCCAGTGAGACAAGTACTGATCTCCTTGAAGCCACCAATAAGCTAGAGAAAAACAAAATGTTCAGCCCAGGTCCAGGCCCTGTACACAAGCGCCCACTCACCACTGGAAACCATCCAACTAACGCAGTAGCGAGGAAACACTGTCTGGGGATTGTCACTGTACGTCAGCAAGTAGTCAAAGCCATTCTGGAAAAGAAAAACAGCAAAGATGAAGGTACCTGAACTACCCCCAGAGCCTCCATATCCAGTACCACAGAATAACCAAGATCTGACTCTGAGGCGGAGAGTGGCAGTTTTTCGCTGTGAGCAAAAGAGAGTGAACACTGAAGACCTGAGAGGTTACCATCTCACGAGGTTGGCCCTGGCTGGTGTCTGGGAACTTGGCTCCAGTCAACAGCTAAGTGCTAAGGGGGGCTCCCTGTGTCTCCTCTGCACAAACAATGCACTTCATACTGAGCACCTGCTTTCCTCCTGGGGGTCTGGGATTTTAGGACACGCTAGGCAGAGGGCGTTCATGTGACCAGCCCCCAGTACAAATCTTGGGCGCTGAGTCTCTACTGGGCTTCCCTGGGTAGAAACATCGCACGCATGTTGCAGCTGGGAGAGGATGTGCTCCGTGGGCCCTCACGGGAGGGAGAGCATGGGGAGACTGCAGTGGGTTCCTCCGGACCCCGCCTGTGTCCTCCCCTCTTGATCCAGCTGTGCACCTTTCCATCACTGCAATAAATCTCAGCCATGAGTAAAACTATACGCTGCGCCCTGGGCGTCCTTCTGCTCGATCTGCGAGTGGGGGTGTGATCCTGAGGACCCCAACACATACCCCCAGTGTTTAAATATCTTAATCTTTACCAAAATGATATGGACTCTACTACTATTACTGCTAACAGCAAACATGTACACAGCACTTAACCACGTGTCAGGAACTGCTTCAACCCCTCACAACGATCCTATAATATAGGCACCAATATCTCCCATTTTACAGATGAGGAAACTGGGCACAAAGAGGTTAAGGGACTTTGCCCAAGGTCACCCACATACTCAACGAGAGCCAACATGAACCCAGAATTCTGACCACAGGGCCCATGCACCCATTCTCTCTGGCTCAACCTCTCATTGGTACAGTGAAGGACAGGGGTTTAAGAGATTCACAGGTGTCCCGATCCCAGGAGAGGTCTGAACCAATTATGCTCCACCCAAAGGGGTAAGAGAGCATCCACTACTGCTTATACGGAAAAAAAAGAAGTCAGAGCTGAAAACAGTGGTTACCTACAGGAAGAAGGAAGGAACTCGGTAGATGGAACAGGGATATAAGCAAATCACTCTATTTCTTATTTTACATATTTGACTTTGAAAACACAATTTTTTTATTATTTAATAAAACAAAATTATATTTAAAAAGCAGTTATCTAAAAATAAAAAGTAGACAACAAGGAACCTAACTATGAACTGAGTTGATAGGAAAAGCCACGAAGAGAGGACCTATTTCAAGTGACCTTAAAACTCAACATTTTGGGGACTTCCCTGGTGGTCCAGTGGTAAAGAATCCGCCTTACAATGCAGGAGACACAGGTTTGATCCCTGGTCAGGGAACTAAGATCCCACATGCCACAGGGCAACTAAGCCCGTGCGCCACAACTAGGGAGCTAGCACACCTCAAACTAGAGAGCCTGCGTGCTGCAAAGTACAGAGCCCACGTGCTCTGGACCCCGCATGCCACAACTAGAGAAGAGAAAAACCCGCATGCCATAACAAAAGATCCCGCGTGCCACAACTAAGGCCCGATGTAGCCAAATATAAATAAATCTTTAAAAAAAAAAAAGCCTCAACATTTTTCACAGTGCATACATATCCTAAAGACAACAAGACATATACCCTACAGTCCTAAATTTTGAGTTAAAAGTACTTGTGTGCACTTAGGATGTATCTTTAAAACAAACAAAATTTATTACTTAGTGCTACCTTCTGAAAAGGCCTAAAAACAGTGAGTAGGCCCAGAGCCATGAGAACTCCTAGAAGCCAAACTGTGGTATTTAAATGACATTTCCTTAGAGGGAACCAGGGCTCCCAGAAGAAATGCTCATTTCCAGGTTTACACCTAAAAATATACAAGGTGAACCGGGAACATCTTATAACACCAGAAACCAGGCGAGTCCTGAGGTCAAGTCAAAAGGACTCCAGTCAGTAAGAAGAGGCTCCTAATGACCAAAAATGGGACAATTTGAACACCGATAAGAATAACTGGGAACGGACTAAAACCAACCAAGTATGTTTAAATTTGTGAGTTTCTAATGGCATTTCTTAAAAAAAAAAAAACTTTACCTTTGAAGGACTGCTAGCTGAAAGAACCAATTCATTATTTTAAAAACTAGTAAATGAAGGAAACAAATCAAGCATTTCTTACTTCCCTTTCCTCTGTGAACTATGGGAAACCAAATAGTTAATGAGGAAATTTTCCCTTAAAGTATGTCACCTAATAAATGGAAATAAATGAAGAAAGAATGGAGGATTTACACAATTAATATTTTGTTAACCTCTAATGAAATAGTGGATCTGAGCAATAATCATTAATCACTTCCAAATTCACAAAGAAAGGGACAATCAGACATTATTTCCTTCTAATAAAGTGGTCTTGCCCCAAACAACCTGAATCTGTTCAAGCCTCCAGATCTAAGTACCCATATACAGGAAACACAGGGGACAGAGAAACATGTTAAGTGACACTATGGACACTATAGAAATATAACCAGCAAGATCCAGGACAAAGAACCTGCTTCTTCAATAAATACAACTGCAAGGGAAAAAAAGGAGGGAGGGACTTCCCTGGTGGTCCAGTGGTTAAGACTTCACCTTCCAATGCAGGGGGCCTGGCTTCAATCCCTGATCGGGAAACTAGATCCCGCATGCATGCCACAAATAAGATCCCGCATGCTGCAACAAAGGTCCCGCGTGCCGCAACTAAGACCCAGCGCAGCCAAAATAAATTTTAAAAAAAGGAGGAAGAACTCAAGAGATAGATACAAAGCTACAGACAGTATGAACCCATTTCAATGTCTGGATCTTATCTGAATCCTGATTCAAATAAACCAACTACAAAAAAATACATGGATGATCAGGAAAATTTGAACACTACGGATATTTGATATTAGGGAATACGATATTATGTTTTCAAAAATCTCTTTTCTTTTTGAGATAAATATTGAAATTTCTATAGAAGAATTCTTCTTTGGTTCTTCTATAGCAAAACTAGAATCTGCTTCAAAATAATCAGGGGAGTGGGAAAGGGAACAGAAAGAGTACAGATAAAACAAATTTGGCCATGAGTTTGGTCATTGTCAGAGCTGGGGATGAATACAAAGGGTTCATTCATTATACTCTCTACTTCTTTATCTTTTGTCTACATCTCAAATTTTCCATAAAAACTAGGGAGTTCCCTGTTGCCTAGGAGTTAGGATTCCGGGCTTTCACTGTCATGGCCCGGGTTCAATCCCTGGTGAGGGAACTGAGATCCTGCAAGCCATGCGGTGAGGCCACGAAAAACAAACAAACAAAAAACCTAACAAGACACCATACCTCGGCCCAAGGATCTACTTTCCATCTGGCAAACCCAAACTCAGCTGCCTGGTTTTCAAGTACCCTCTGCACATGGTCAAGGTAATTACCACTCCTCCCTAAACTCTGCCCTCCTTTTCAAGCAGTGAGTCAGTCTCTCAACATCCACGGCTCATTCCTATCTTTGTCTTTGGTTGAATCGTGTCTTCTACCTCCAGGGTCCTTCCTGTTTTCCTCTATCCACAGTCTACCTTTTTATAAGAACCAACTCAAGTCTCACCTTTCTCTTAAGAGCTTGCCACGATATGCTAAAAGACTTACACAGATAATTCATACTGCTCCCCCATCCCAGCTGAAAGAAGTTATTTTCTGGGTGCAACACACTCTGCTAGGTGCCAAACTCTGCCTTAGCTGTTTCATGGTCAGGGTTTCTAAAGGCAGTAATGCTGGGACTCAAGTCACTTTTTTTTCAAATAGGAACTACACAGACAAGGTTCAAATTTCAAAAGCAACGTAAAGGAAAAGAGTGAGGCACAATTCTAATTCCCACCGTCCCCAGCCAGGCTCCCCTTCCTAGAAGCAGCTAGCTACCGACCGCAGCCTTCTTGTCTAGCTTCTAAAGCAAGGACTTTAAAACATTTTTTAACTGTATTTACAACACACTGTAAATACTCCTTTTTACACTGTAACCAAGTTCTCTCTCACTCTCTCACACACACACTTGTACATACTTACGTAATCAAACAAAAGTTTCATGAAATATGCTTACACTCAGTTTCAATTCTATTTATTCCTTTTCTCTTTAAGCACTAAATTAATTTTGTCTTCCACTAGTGGGTAGCAATGCGTGGTTTGAAAAATACTGCTCTAAAAAAATAAATAAATAAATAAAATACTGCTCTAGGGCTTCCCTGGTGGCGCAGTGGTTAAGAATCTGCCTGCCAATGCAGAGGACACGGGTTTGAGGCCTGGTCCGGGAAGACCCCACATGCCGCGGAGCAACTAAGCCCGTGCGCCACAACTACTGAAGCCCGTGCTCTAGAGCCCGTGCTCCACAATGAGAAGCCACTGCAATGAGAAGCCCGCACACCACAACGAAGAGTAGCCCCCGCTCGTCACAACTAGAGAAAGCCCGCATGAAGCAACGAAGAGCCAGTGTAGCCAAATAAATAAATAAATAAATAAAATATTTTTTTAAAAAAAAGAAAAATACTGCTCTCAAAATGGTACCGAAGTCAACACACATCTCCCAGTAAAACAAGAGCAAAACATCACACTGACTGAGGCGAACCACCATTTATGTCACTCTTAAAGTCCCACTATAGGTGGTATAGACAAAACAACCTGCTGGAAACAACAAAACCATGGTAAGAGAACAGTCGTACAGCTCTAAAACAAACAAAAGTGATGGGTAGAAACAAAGCCATTATAAAGTAAATAAAACTAAAAGCAGCAACCACTGTCATCAGTATGTATACTCACCAGAGATTTGGCCAAAAGCATCAAAGTAAAACACCACACTAAGTGGAAGAAAATATTCTTCTCAAAGGAAGGTCATAAAATTTTAAAGAAGGCAGGACTTCTCTGGTGGCGCAGTGGCTAAGAATCCGCCTGCCAGTGCAGGGGACACGGGTTCGAGCCCTGGTCCAGGAAGATCCCACAGGCCGTGAAGCAACTAAGCCTGTGCGCCACAACTACTGAGCCTGCGCTCTAGAGCCCGTGAGCCACAACTACTGAAGCCCGTGCGCCTAGAGCCCATGCTCCGCAACAAGAGAAGCCACCACAATGAGAAGCCCGTGCACTGCAACGAAGAGTAGCCCTCGCTCACAGTAACTAGAGAAAGCCTGCACGCAGCAACGAAGACCCAACGCAGCATAAATAAATAAAAAAAATTTAAAAAGCAAAAATTTTTTTAAAGAAGGCAGAGAGCATTAGTCTAACTCTCTCATTTTACAGACAAGGAAAGAGGAGCCCAGAAAGGTGGTTAAGTGTTCTGCCCACTGTGGGGAAATTTTGATGGAAACGGTGCTCGCTCTGGTTCCTCAAGGCCGCTAATGACCGGCCGATGAGTCAGGGGCCGTCGCCTTCTGCTAACTGTCCCTCAGGTAACGGGAGCCATGGGTCATCACTACGTTGTCTCAGGAGGTCTCCCAGGTACACCACTCTACAGCAGGGGTCCCGAAGTGGGGTTCCCAGGCCAGCGGCAGCAGCCTCACCTGGGAACTTCTCAAAACATGCCAATTCTCAGGCCGCAGCCCAGCACTGCTTTAACAAGCTCCAGCGGAGGGTGATGCAAGTCAAGTGCGAGAACGACTGCGCCCTCCCCAGTTCAGATCAAAGGCATTCCTTGAGAAAATTCATAAGCCGCTAACACATCACCTCTCGGATGATGTAGAACTCACCTCATCAAATGACTTGTGGGGACGGATAACCATTTGGGATTCATATGATCTGACCCTTACAAATTCCGGAGACTCTGGCACACTAGGGTGCTCCACGGCCCTGGGAGGGAGAGAAGTGCGGGAAACTCTAAGTAATGTCTACATACAGAACAGCATGGGAGCTAAAGTTAAGAGGAAAATCTAAAAGGCAGCCTCTAATTTTTTAAATACATCAGAAAAGTCACAAAGATGAATGAGTATAAACTAGGTACTAAAAACAGTGAGTTAAGTTGGTGATTCCTGGCTCACTAGGCTTTGTGTTGAGGAAGAGAGCATTTCTTTTTTTAATTATCAACATTAAGGAACTAAAGGATTAGTTTAATGAAAAGCTTGTATCCCTTCAATCCTCTGAGATGGTCACCAGTCCCAGCCCACTCACATTCTAGCTGGGATGCATAGGGCCCGGGCTTGACTCATAAGGCAAACTCCCATCACACATGCATAAATGAAGGACAAGCTAAAGGAACCCAGCAGCAGCCACCACACATACCGTGACACCAACACCATCACGTTGTTTTCCTCATCCACACTATACCGCCGAACATAAACATAATCCCGTGAGTACATTGGATACTAAAGAAAAGGAGGGGCAGGATTAGTGCTCTGCCTCACACGGACATGACAAACGTAAAAGCGGAGGTGAAAATACTCACCGGAAAATGGGTTACCCAGTGAAGAACCTCAGAACCACTAACCACATCCCTCTCGATCACTTCCAGCTTGATCACCAGGGCGTCCCACTTCTTTCTATACTCTGTATCCAGCTGCGGAAACAGAACAGACCATAAAGACCCAAGAGATCCAAAACAAAGCTGCAGAAGACTTCTCCAGATGCTTGGGCCTCTGACCCAAGAATCTTCTTCTGAAACAGTGACCCGACCTAAAAGGCAGTGCCAAAGTGTCAAAGACACGGCTGTGTTTACTACAGACGAGTCTTTTAAAATCCCTTCCTGTAGGCCAATCCCATTACCTTGAAAATGAATCTTAACAAGAAAAAGACAAGTGTAAGAAAAAAATATTGTAATAGACATGTCTGGGGAAAATATCTCAGTGAGATAAATGTGTATGGGTGAAACGATTCTAAAAAGTTTTAAAAAGAAAGTCCAAAAGTATGAGCAGACACCTCACAGAAATACAAGTTGCATATTTTTAAAAATATGTAGCACCACTAGTAACTACGGAATTTCAAAGTAAGACATATATCATACATATCCAAACCAACAAAAACTCAATACAGATTGACAAAATTCAGTGCTTAGGGGAAAGCATGCGCTTGCGTATTAGTAGTGTGTGTTATAACCATCAAACTCAAAGTCCAGTAAAACATGGAAACTCCAGGAAGGAAAAAAATTTTTTTGTAGAACTCTGGGTGATCCCACCTCCCCTTTCATACATTTCCCCACAAGGAGGGACAGAGTCTTTAAACACATACTCTTCATCTTTATCAAATAAGCACCTTCACTGTAGATAAGTTCCAGATTGCTAAATCCTGACTGCATCTGTACTGAAGGAGAAAACGCCATAGAGGACATTGTTGGGCCAGTAGGTAAAACTGGAATACAAAGATTCTGTAAGTGCTGCATCAGTTAAATTTATACTGACTTTGATGATGGTACCATGGCTAGCTAGGAGAATATGTCTAGTTTTAGGAAATATACACTGAAGCATTTTGGAATAAAGGGTATGTAACTTACCCTTAAATTAAGAAAAAAAACCTATAAAGCCATATAAAACATATTCAAGCACTCAAATCCATTCCTCTATTTGATCTTCCCAACAGCTCTGTAAAAGGGTAGACCTGGCCTCATCCCCACTGGACAAATTATAAATCAAAGGTTTACCCAGAGGTCATCTGACGTGAAATGAGGGGTAGAGAAACAGACAGATGGATTGAAGCCAATGTCTTCTGAGTCAGAGAAATTACTCATGTGGACCATGGCAAGTGGACTTCTAGGCTTAGTGGCTCCAGATCTGGGCAGAAAAATGTACTCACCTGAACATTGAAGAACTGCCGAGGTGTCACATCTGTGTAGGTTCCAAAAACTAGAATGACAGGAAAGAATAAGGGATGTTTGCCACACTCTCGTCACTTAACTGCATTTCAGTTGTAATGACTGACAGATCTTAAAGGCAGATTCAGAAACTAGAAGTCATATTGGGGCGGCAAAGTAAGACAAAGGTAACCTATAGCAAAGTGTAGCAAAGACATGGAGACTCTTGTCATCTGCGAGAGGAAAAACAACAAACAGGGCAATTTTCCCAAGAAACCCCCAGAACGGAAGAGTTTAGAGAGCATAGGAACACAGTGCTGTGCACCTGCCAGCATGAACACTCTTACCAGCAGCCAAGCTGGGCTCACCTCTGTACTGGTAAAGGGGGGTGCCTGTAATGGGGCGCCGCCACAGCTTGAAGTGTTTCTTATCCATCACCATTTCCCACGGTTGCTCTTTGCCTCCTGAATCTTCATCCCTTTCTGTTTGGGATTTTGGTTCTGGAGGGTGGTGGTCAACTCCAGAGCTCTGAAACGTACTTGACATTTCCTCCAACCGTTTCATCTCATTAATGGATCTGGAGAGAAAAACAACAGGCATGGTGCAATGGCTGGAGTCTGCCCTGTGAATTGCAATGGGCACACAAAGACTTGTACAGAACGGTGTGACTTTAAAACAGTATAAAGTGTAGGGAATAAAAATATGAGTTCTTGAGTCTGAATCCCAGTCCAATATTCATCAACTAGAATATTAAACAACTTAACTAATCCCTATTTCTTAATCTGTAAAATGGGGATAATAATAGTACCTACGTCAAAGGTTGATTATAAAAATTAAATAAATTTACCTGTAAAGTGCTGAACACCAGGCATATAATTAGCCCTCAAATGTTAACTATTATAATTTATGACTATGAAATGTCATTTGATACCTTTTGTCCGTTTTTTATTGGGTTGTCTTCCTCTCACATTATAAGAGTATTTATATATTTTTCCTCCTCTCTTTTAAAGAGATAATTCACATAAGAATCATCCTTTTACTGTATACAAATCAGTGCTTTTTAGTATAGTCCCAAGGTTGTACAGCCATCACCACTAATTCCAGAACCCTGTCATCTCCAAAAGAAACCTATACTCACCAGCAGTTAACTCCTCACAGCCCCGATAACTACTAACCTACTTTCTGTCTCTACGAGCTTGCCTATCCGGAAATTTCATATAAATGGAATATTACAAAATATGGTCTCTTGGATCTGGCTTTTTTCACTTAGCGTATTTACAAGGTTCATTCACGCTGTACTTTATTCCTTTTATGACTGAATAATATTCCACTGTATGGATGTATCACATTTTGTCTATCCATTCATCAGGTGATGGGCATTTAGGTGGTTTCTACTTTATGGCTATTATGAATAACACTGCTATTAATATTTGCATACAACTTTTGTATAGACATAAGCTTTCAGTTTCCTTGGATAGATTCCTAGGAGTGGACTTGCTGGGTCATGGAAACTCTGTTTAACTTTTTAAGGAAGTGCCAAATTATTTTCCAAAGCAGCTGTTCCATTTCTATGTTCACACCAACAATGTATGAGGGTTCCAACTGCTTCACATCGTTGCCAACACTTGTTATTGTCCCATCTTTTCCAGCAATCCTAGTGGGTGTGAAGTGGTATCTCATTGTGTTCTTCCATTTGTATTCCCCTAATGATGACTATTGACATTGAGCATATTTTTATGTGCTTATGGGCCATTTGTGTATCTTCTTTGGAGAAAGATCTACCGAAATCTTTGTTTTAAATTGGGTTGTCTTTTTACTGTCAAATTTTAAGAGTTCTTTATACATTCTGAATACTAGTCTCTTAACAAATACACAATTTATAAATATTTTCTCTGACTCTGTGGGTCATCCTTCCACTTTCTTGATAGTAAACTTTGATGCACAGAAGTTTTCAATTTTTTTTCTGGCCGTGCCGCGCTGCATGTGGGATGTTAGTTCCCCGACCAGGGATCAAACCTGCATCAGAAGCACAGAGTCTTAACTACTGGGCCACCAGGGAAGTCCCCGTAAGTTTTTAATTTTGATGAAGTTAATCTATTTTTTCTTTGATTGTTCAATTTTTTGGTGTTATATCTAAGAAACCAGTGCCTAATCCAGTATCAAAAGAACGTATGCCTATGCTTTCTTTTAAGAGTTTTAGGTTACATTTAGGTCTTTGGTCCATTTTAACTTTGTGTATGGTTTGAGGTAGGGGTGTAAATTCACTATTTTGCATGTGCACCTCCAGTTGTCCCAGCACCATTTGTTGAAGACTATTCTTTCCCCATTGAATTGTCTTGCCACTTTTGTTGAAACTCAAATCGACCACAAAGCTAAGAGTTTATTTCTAAACTCTAAGTTTAATTCCTACAATTTATATATCTATCCTTATGCCAGTACCATTATCATCTTAAGTACTGTAGCTTTGTAGTGAGTTCTAAAATTGGAAAGAGTGAGTCCTTCAACTCTGTCCTCCTTTTTCAAGATTGTTTTGACTATTCTGGGTCTTTCATTTCCATTTAAGTATCCTAAGGAATCCACAGGAACTTACTGGAGCTAATAAAGGAGTTCAGCAAGCTTGCAGGATATAAGATCAATTTACAAAAATCGTATTTCTATACAGTAGCAATGAACAATCTGAAAATAAAATTGAGAAAACAATTCCATTTATCATAGCATCAAAAAGAATAAAATAATAAGGAATAAATTTACAAAAGAAGTTGGGCTTCCCTGGTGGCGCAGTAGTTGAGAGTCCGCCTGCTGGTGCAGGGGACACAGGTTCGTGCCCCAGTCCGGGAGGATCCCGCGTGCCGTGGAGCGGCTGGGCCCGTGGGCCATGGCCACTGGGCCTGCGCGTCCGGAGACTGTGCTCTGCAGCAGGACACGCCACAGCAGTGAGAGGCCCGTGTACAGCAAAAAAAAAAGAAGTGAAAGACACACTAAAAACTACCAAAAGATCATTGAAAGAAATTTTAAAAGACATAAATGGAAAGATATATTGTGTTCATGGGTTGAAGGTCTTGATATTGTTGAGATGGCAAAACTACCCAAGGTGATCTATAAATTCAACATAATTTCTATCAAAATCATAGACTATTTTGTGGAAACTGACCAGCTGATCCCTAGGTAAACAACAAGGGCCTACGTATAGCACCAGGAACTATACTCAATATCTTGTAATAACCTGTAATGGGAAAGAATCTGAAAAAGAACACACTACTGTATATAAAACAGGTAAACAACAAGGACCTACGGTATATAATCCTTTTTATGTGTTGCTGAATTCAGTTTGTTAGTATTTTGTTCAGAACGGCATAAAGCTTAGAAACATTCAAAACAATACCATATGTCAAACTATGTGTCATTATATATCATTTAGGGATGTATACATACGTATAAAGACACAGATGGTAATGAAATATAATAAATTGGGATAGTCTGGGGGACAGAGGATATTTCCATTGGAAAAGGTCCAGAGGAGGCTTTAATTGTATTTACAACATTTTAGTTCTTAAATATAACTGTATTTGTAACATTCATGTTTTTCTTTAAACCTTTTTATATATCTGAAACATTAAAAAAAAATTTTTTTAAACATGGTTTGTTTTCCCCTTAACCTCGTAGGATGAGTTGGGAGATTGGGATTGACATATATACACTAATATGTATAAAATAGATAATTAATGAGAATCTGCTGTATAAAAAATAAATAAAATTCAAAAGAGATGTGGTATGTATATATGATGGAATATTACTTAGCCATAAAAAAGGATGAAATAATGCCATCTGCAGCATCATGGATGGACCTAGAGATTGTCATATTGAGTGAAGTAAGTCAGATACACATAAATATGATATCGCTTATATGTGGAATCTAAAAAAATGGTACAAGTGAACTTATTTACAAAACAGAAAGAGAGTCACAGATGTAAAAAACAAACTTATGGTTGCCAAGGGGGAAAGGGGGGGAGGGATAAATTGGGAGACTGGGAATGACATATACACACTACTATATATAAAATAGATAACTAATAAGAACCTACTGTATAACACAGGGAACTCTACTCAATACTCTGTAATGACTTATATGGGAAAAGAATCTAAAAGAGTGGATCTATGTATAACTGATCCACTTTGCTGTGCAGCAGAAACTAACACAACATTGTAAATCAACTATACTCCAATAAAAATGTTTTTAAAAAGCAAAAAAACAAAAAAACATGGTTTGTTTTCCCCTTAACCTTTTTTTTTTTTTTTGGCTGCGTTGGGTCTTTGTTGCTGTGCGTGGGCTTTCTCTAGTTGCGGTGAGTGGGGGCTACTCTTTGCTGCGGTGTGTGGGCTTCTCATTGCGGTGGCTTCTCTTGTTGCAGAGCACAGGCTCTAGGTGCGGGGGCTTCAGTAGTTGTGGAGAGCAGGCTCAGTAGTTGTGGCACACGGGCTTAGTTGCTCTGCAGCATGTGGGATCCTCCCCAACCACGACTCAAACCCGTGTCCCCTGCACTGGCAGGCGGATTCTTAACCACTGCGCCTCCAGGGAAGTCCCTCCCCTTAACCGTTAAACAGCAGTTAGGAAAGCAAGATTGCTGGCTGACTATGTCACTTCTGCAATTCAAGACTCAAGACACCACCTACTGATACATTCTGTCTGAAAGGCCCTTTCATGCCTTTTTAACCTTCAAAAACCCCACAAGGGTCAAGGTTAACTCCCAGGCAGTTAACCATATACATTTACTTTTATTCCTCTACAGAAACATATCACACAATATTATAATTAATCTATCTTTATATCTGCCACCCTTACTAAACTATGCATTCCCTAAAGGCCCAGAATCAGTCTTTTTCATATTTTTATGTCCAGCTCCTAGCAAGTACCTGGTAAACATTACATGCTCAACAAACGTTCACAGTATAAACTGAGTAAATAAATATGGAAGTAGGCCTTAATAATTCAAATTCTTATTAAAAGATTACATTAACACATTGCTTTAAAAGCCAAAAATTCAAAGTTATACTGGTAACCCAAGATTAAAAGTTTAGAGCAATCCAAAGCAATGGTGAGTGTAGAGATCTGTGTTCTAGTCCTGGCTCTGCCAACTAGCGGTGTGATCTTACGCAAGTCATTTTACCTGCAAAGCCTCCCTTGTTCCACCTGTAAAGTGAGGACATTATTTCTCGAAGGTTTCTATTAGCTCTAAAATTCCAATTCTCTGAATTTTAAACTTTGGAATTAAATGAAAATATTTATATACAGGGACATTTGCTGTTTTCATTGCCTGGAATCTTTTCCTATTTGAAGAGAATCCCCAAATAGGTGAGATGCAGCCCCCATCTCAACCCCTAGCAGTTAGCACATGACTCCTAATTTAAGTGAGGTGAATCAGAGACTTCTGGTAGAGGCTTTGAATCTTGAGGAAATAATACAAGGCACAGGACCTTTTAGATTTTCTCAGTGATCTTGAGGCAGTTGAGAATCCAGCAGTGCAACAAATCGACGGGAAACAATACCAGCAACACTGCCCAAAGAAGAGCATTCCTGTACCAGTAGTAGCAGGCCTTGGGTGTTCTCTTGGCCAACCTGTACTCTGGCCTTCTTGTCAACGCTCTGAATGACCTAACACCTTTTTGGCTTAAGTTAACCAATATCAGTTTCTTTGTTTTCAACCAATAACCATAGCCAGTACAATTTATACTGATGTTCTGATGAAAAATATTTAACCATTTTTTTTTTAAGTTTCAACTTGAATTAACGTTACAGAACAAGATTGACTGCTACCATTGCAAAAACCATATAGAAATAGGGAAGGAAATTTAGAGTAGGCAATAAGATCTTGCAGAGGAGAAAGTAAAGTCACAGCTTTGCTCCGAGAACAACAATGCAGGCATCACGTGGAACCAATCATGGCACTTTTGAGGACTAGCAAAGCACCCTTCAATAAAAATTAAGCTGGACTTTTGAATATCCTTATCACATAATGAAGAGGGGCAGGAACGTCGTACGTCTTATGAAAAACACATCAGAGGCCCATAAAATTATATAGTAATATGGTTTTAAGAAAATTAAACTATATGACTACAGGCAGTATTTTTAACGGCCTTCTAAGACTCAAGGTGGTACAGAGCTTCTGACTCACTGCTTAATCAGCCTCTCCTATAGGATTAAAGGTCACTAGGTGGCCTTGATTAAACATGAGACTAAGTCCCTAGGGAGGACAGCAATGTCTTGTGAAGGTATGACACTCATTCTTTGAACAGCACAACATGAATGCTAGAGTAAGACTGCATCATGGAAATGATCGTTACGTCTCAGGTTCGAGAATCTCGGAAGGGTCTCAACTTCTAATTGTTGACATGACAGACACCATTAGCACACAGGTGCCCAATCACTATCACATACGTAGGAAGGAGAAACCTCTCACCGTGTTATCTCCTTAGCCTGCTGTGCCAAACCTTATTTGGAAGGGATGGGTGTCTAAACCTTGGTATCTAAGGGACTTAAGTAATAAGAAGGGAGAACAGAAGGACAAGAAAGATTATTCCCAAGATAGTAACAGAACCAGCAGATTAGTAAGAGGATCAAAGAAAGAAAGTCAATGCTTTCCTTTCTTCAAAACTAAAATCATTTCAACATTTGAGAAAGACTGGACTGAGAGCCATGGAAATTGAGGGCATAAAACCATGAAAACAGAAATATAAGCATAATCATATTTGGCTCATCTATAGGGGGTCCTGCCCTAAGTGGAGAGCTTGATATAAGGCTCCTAAAATGACTCAAATGAAGCCATTCCTGTAATTGGTAACTTCAGTAAGAGGCTCCCTTGTTTCAATGATCCCCTCTCAAATTCCCAATTATTGTCGAAGTTAGAGACCTTTAAGTACAACTGTCATGAGACATACCTAAAAGACATCAATTAGTTCATTGCAATTCTGAGCGTAGTTCTGATTATCTAAGAAGGTGTAACAGTAAAAACATCCTTAAGTGACAGTGGCAAAAACAAAAAAAAATTCCTTTAAGCCAAAAGGACTTTTTGTCGATCATTTATCTAATTAACAGCACACCGAAAAGTTAAAAGACCAAAATGGGAAAATGGCTAATTTTCTTTATGAAACTTTACTGGCACTTATTTACTCAAATTTCTAGAGCAATGAACTGTAACTTTTTTAAAAAAGGGGAGGGAGATTAATAGAACATTTTCCCCTAGGCTTTCGTATTTCCTAACTTCCTTCTCCTTTTTGTTCCTGTAATTTTTCTTAATGTTCCAAATCAATAAAAACTTACTACTGGGACTTCCCTGGTGGCACAGTGGTTAAGAATCTGCCTGCCAATGCAGGGGACACAGATTCAAGCCCTGGTCCGGGAAGATCCCACATGCCGCGGAGCAACTAAGCCCATGCACCACAACTACTGAGCCTGTGCGCCACAACTACTGAGCCCATGTGCCACAACTACTGAATCCCACGTGCCTAGAGCCTGTGCTCCACAATAAGAGAAGCCACCGCAATGAGAAGGCTGCGCACCGCAAGGAAGAGTAGCCCCCGCTCGCCACAACTAGAAAGCCGGCGCGCAGCAACGAAGACCCAACACAACCAAAAATAAATAAATAATTTATTTATTTTTAAAAACTTACTACTGTATTTTTCCATAAGATTTGACCTGAGCTCACAGAATGCCAGCTAGCACCAAAAATAATGATTAAAAGTTATTTTGTCTGATCATTTAATTAAAGCCTATCAGGTAATAACACTAAGCGTTAAAAGACCTGACTTCTACACCTGGCCTATCAGTGAGTCAGTCACTTCGTACAAGTTACTTCTTTTCTCTAATTTTCTTGCTGATTCTCGATTAATGAGTTCCTATTTGTTAAGATGTTCTTAAGCACGAGAGAATAGAAAGCAAGGGTTTTTCTTTGTCCTTCTGAACAGAAACTCTACTAACATAAGAAAAAACACACACCACTTCAAGGCACACATTCAAAGAGACATCCTCACACCCCATCACTGTTTGACCAAGACAGCAATATCTGAATTAGTCTGTACCAGGACAAGTTGGTACAGAAGCAGCACAGAAGAGCCAAAGGCTGTGATTTAGGGGCCATGGGACAATCATGCTCTTCTTCCGTTAACAATGAAAGAAATGCACATGTCCCGTGGCACATTCAACTGTGCTCCGTTATGGAAGCTACCCAAAATCATCTCACTAGAACAAACAAAATCTAAGATCCTCTAAGCTAGCTATGACAACCTCAGCGTCCTTTAAAGCAAACAGAATACTTAAACACCAAGCCAAAAAAAGTTAACCTATACCCAGAATATCTTATTCAATAAAACACTGGGAATTCCCTGGCGGTCCAGTGGTTAGGACTCCATGCTTTCACTGCCGAGGGCATGGGTTCGATCCCTGGTCAGAAAACTGAGATCCAAAACTGAGATCCAGCAAGCTGCGCACGGTGACCCCCCGCAAAATAAATAAATTAATTAAAAGTAAAATATAAACATGACAAGCTATGAGAACAGACCTATGAAGTCACTGTACAAGCAAGATACAGCTGACAGTATATTATTTGCCTCCCTATCAAAATAACATTTAAAAAAATCCTCAGAATGGACTTGATCAAATTTTAAGTATATGACTGAATTCAAGCGTGAACTGGACATGTGGTGTTAAATGAGGGCCTTTACTGGAACAACTCTGCAGAGGGTCAAAAAGGGCACCTTAAGTCTTCGTACTGGCCTTCCTCTAAGCTCCTGAAATTCCCAAATGGGTTATCGCAGCTTACCTCTTTAGGAGTTGGATTAGAACCAAGTGCTTCAACTGTCCGATTTCTTTCCGCAACAGTGAGTAATGACTACGGACTCAAGTGTTTACCACATCTATCTCCTATTGTTTTTTCCCCTCTAGCTCCTGCAAATGGGAGACCTACTAAACAGAGGCTCTAGGACACATGGTTGACAAAAATACATGGAGAAAGACGAAGAACGACATCTATCACCTAGGCCCCAACGCTATTCAACTCCCACCCCCAAAACATCTTCCCTGTCTTTGGCACCCAGGGGCCCTTTCCTGGTCTTTCTCCTCTTCCCCAAACAGATCCCACTGGGAATATTCCCATCAAACTTCACCACTGTGGAACATGGGTATTTCATCGTCAAAAACAGAATGAAAAGTCAAACAGTTAACTGGTAATTTCTCAATTTAAAAGTTTCCTTCCCATACATTCTTTTATTTCTCACACCTGAGAACACCATTAGAACAAATGGACAAGTAGCAAAAGAACACTAACAGAAACTAGGCAAACTACCTATCATGCTTTGATATCTTAACTTTTTTGTGAATAAGGTTGTTTGTGGTTATGATTTTAAATTGCATTTGTAAAATAGTCATCTTTCCTGCTAGGAAAAGTATTACCAGCTCTTCAGATACACTTGCATTTACCCACAACGCACAATGTTACACCAAGAGCTGTCTGGCATCTGGGTGCTACACCTCCATACAGGTTATAGTGGTAACTTTACTGAAAAACTTCCATTTTTAACCTAACCAGAAATGTGGAATAACCGAAGAAACAGCTAGAACAAATAGACTTGTGTGGAATTTATCTGGTGTAGGGGACTATCCTAGGTTCTTGCAATCAGTTTCAGAGTTTAGGAAGCAGAGTACGTGTGTGGAGAAAGAACACAATTTAAGAATATCTGTTAAAAAGAAAATACAGCGACAACGTAAAGCAAGACCTAAATCAAGGTTTCCCATGATACTATGTGACAACTGTAAGGGCTCAGTTTAGAACCACAGGTTAACAAATTCAGTCAATGGTACTGCACTTTTTTCACACAGAGGTTTTTGATGATGACAGCGTGATTTCAGAGCCTAATAAAACAGTACTTCCAGAGCTCTAGTGGAAGTAGCAAAAAGCTGACCTAATTCTTCCAGGTTAAAATGTCTGGGCTACTGGTTTGTCCCAGGAGGGCAAAATCGCTTCTAGCCTCCTAATTCTGCCATGAGTCACAATGACAAGAGCTCTCTTGGCATTTCTCACGAAATCCCATTTGGAATGAAGTGATTTTGTAAATTGCACAAGTATATCCTCAGGTCAAGTTTAAAACCTGTCTGGAACTTGGACCTTTCTGGATATGTTAAAGATTACGTGAACGATGGCCTACTTCAATACCCATTTTCCACAATGCTACTTCTTTAGTGGCATGCGCCCCAAAGTCTCCCTCCTCCACTAACCTACACTTGCATTTATTTCTAACTCGACAAATCAAGTTAACACACAGAGGCAATGAAGAAACGTGCTTTGCTATGACAGGATCAAGCTACTTGCATCGTCACTTCCAGTGCCACCGGGTCAACGGGAGACACCGCCAAGGCAGGCCCCAGGGTTCAACGTTCCCACCTCCCCACCCCACCGCCTCCACCCCAGGGAACAGGCGCGACCTCGCCGCCGAGCCCACCTCTGCAACTCCTCCTCCTGGATCCTCTCCTCGTCCCACGCGAACACGCCGGCGAGCGCCGCCATCAAGGCAGAGGCATGGCCTGGGCGTCCGCGAAGCCGGCGCCAGAGGCGACCAAGGAGGATGCGGCGCGAGCTCTCCGAGTAGAGGCGGCCGTAGAGCTGCGCGATCTGCTGCGCCCGCCGCACGCGCAGGCCCGTCACGAAGCGGCACTGATTGGCCAGCAGGGCGAGCAGGCCCCCGCCCCGCGCCCCCGCGCGCCCGGTCGCCGCCGCGCCCGCCAGCAGCCAGGCAGCCAGGCCGACCGGCGGCCTCCGGGGAAACATGCTGCCCGCGCGCCCAGCCGGGCCCAGGTGCTCTCTGAAGCCCGCCGCGTGCCCGGACGCGAGCGAGGCCTCGCTCAAGGGGTGAAAGGAACGAGCCCGGGAGGGCGCAGGCGACCTCCTGCCGAGCCCCCCTAGTTGGCCGGCCCCGAAGTCGTCTGACGCTCTAACAGGTTCTTCATCTCTCGGCAGCAACCGCTGAGGAAGTCTCCTTTAGGGGAGAGAGTCGGCCATGGCACCGGCCGCGGGGGGCGAGCCCGCGACCGCTGCAGGAGGTGCTCCGCGGTTCCGGCCGGACAGCCCTGTCGGGCCCCTGCCTCCTCGGCGTCCTCAGGCCGGCGCCAGGGGCCTTGGTGCAGAGCGCGCGGGAAGCGGCGAGGCTGGCGGCGAAGTCCCCAGCGTTCGGCGTCCACCACATGCGCTGCCAGCTTGCAACCTATTCCGGTCTCTGCCGCCCGGCCCTGATTGGGCGCGGCCCGGACTCCCGGTGCTGATTGGCGGTGCCAAGTGCCCGTCACCGTCCCTTCGCGCGGCGCGTCGGGACCTGTAGCTAGCAAGGTAGGTGGCGCGGCGGCCAGAGCTAGTCAAGGGCGCCTGGGAGGTTGGTCGGCGGACCCAGCCGACGCCGCCATCTTCCGGCCCCCCGACCCTGCCCTGTGAGGGGGAACGGCCAGGTGCCTGTTAGACCTCTGCGCGGTGCTCGCTCAGCTGTTCGGAGAGGACTGCGACCGTCGTCTGGTTCACTGATTTGAGACTAGGGTGGGATGGGGTCTCGGCACTGCGTCTGCGGGACGCTGGGAGTATCCAGTTTGGGGAGTCGGAGGCGGGACAGTGTAGACGCCTTTGGTGAGTGGAGACCCTGCCGAGGCCTGGCGGCCAGCACCTTCCTCGGCTTCCCCGCTGGCTTTCCCGCAAGCGCCCGGCGCGCCGAGACCACCTCCGAGGCTCGGAGCCTGAGCACTCGGCCTGTCTCTGTGAAGCCTCGACGCGAGAGTGGGCCGGTGTGGGCATCCTTAGAGCCCAGGACACTTTCCAGAGAGCTACGTGGTCAGGTGACCCGTCGCAGTCTGGAAATGCGGTAGCCCTTTGGTTAAAGGGACAGCTGAATGGAGTTGCTTGGGGCAGATGCCCCTGGTCGTGTAGTAGCTGTCCTTCTCTCTTTGACCCAAAGGTGGCAGCTTGAGAAGATAAACAGGTTTCCTAAAACCTACTTTGCACCACCCATGAACAACCTAGCTAAATGATCTTGAACGGCATTAACTTACTATTCTGTGCCCAACCTCATTAAAATGAAATGCCTGGAGGTCCACTAGGAAGACCTTACGCGAAATTTGTTTCCTTACTTTTTTAAAACTTACATTAAGTGCCTTATTGACAGACAAACAAAATACTGTAAAAGGAAGTCTTCACGTGGGAGCCTGTGCTCATTCCACGGCAGTACATTTAGAAACTTTACTCTTAATGTACCTGTTTGAGCAATTTTATATGTTCTTAATAAAAGATGTTTCCAAAAAAAATGCTTTACTGGGAACTGAAATTTAGATCTCTCCAGACTTTCTGATTTTACTCTGGGATTGGTATTGATGTTTATTTTCCCTTGAAATAAGGAGAAATGTATATAACAGAAAATAGTATTTGATGCTTTTCTCAATGATGGTAGGATGGCCGGAACGGGGTGTGAGGGTGTATGGTAAGGCCACTCAAGATGGCTGTTCTCTTGCTCTCTGTACATCCCCTGCCCAACCAGTGCTTGCTTCACCTACACCCTACTGACTTGATTGACCTTCCTACTTACTTGCCCCAGGCCCCAAGTAATGATAGCTTTTCAAAAGGATGGTGAGGGGCGTGCCCCTCTGCTGGTTTCCCTGGTAACTAATGAGCCAACCTGATGTCATTTCCCTTATAACTGGAAATCTCCCCTTCCCCTTGGGAGCAAAGACTGCTACCATGTCCTGCCCATATGCACCGCACATGGTGGGGTGTCGCTCCGGGACCTTGCTTCAGACGTGTAAGTTCCCCCCATCCATTAAACCACTGATGTGTCTTGCTGACTCCAGGCTCTTTCTTGGCTCTTGAAGCTTGGCAAGCACAGGCCTTGTAGGCCTGCGGGGTGCAGCCCAACACAGGGGAAAGGTTGAATTTTCCTACAGTCCTGCTTCCTTTGATTTAAAGGAGCTTAGCACTTCTGCTTGTCCCTTTTTTGTTTTCTGTTTTTGTTTTGTTCTGTTTACAAAAATGAATTCTCAGGTACTCCAGCTGAGCCCCTCTAATCCCCCCATTTTTCCGCATCTCCATTGCTTCTTTCCCCTCAGTACATAAACACAATCAAGTTCATCCTCAAAAAAGCTTTGAGAAAAAAAGAGGCCTTAACTCTTCCTCTTTCCAGTTACCACCCCCTTATCCTTCCTTTTACAGCTATAATTTTTTCAAAAGATGACATAAACATGCTTGCTGTCTCCATTTCTGTACCTACCTATAAATTCCGCTTTAGAATTTTCAAAATCTATTTCTTCTACACCATTCTCTCTACCACTTGGTTGTTCACACCCTAACAGTACACTCTAGCCTAACTTCTCTTCCAATCCATTATCAACAAACTTCGTTTTGTTTGTGTAACCCCAGAACAATGTTGAAAAACTTGATTCTCTTTGTATATTTTTGAGTTGATCCAAAATTCTTCATCATGGGCTTGTCTTATATAAGTTGGGTTCTGCCTATTAGACCCACCAAAACATAAAGTTGAGTAGGCCCAACAATAATCTATAGTAAGAAGTGGTACATCCAGAATTGGGATGAGCAGGGCCAGGGGCACAGTAAGCCACACAAGCAGATGGCCTAGACATCCATGTCACCCAGCATTTATGCACTGATGCCTCTCCCTCAGCTCACACCTGTGGCCGCATAGGAGATTGGGTCCCTTTATGAGCAGCTGACAAAGGAGGAAAAAAAGCAAAGCTTGATTTGCTCATAGGTCAAAGTGGTGCGTGGGTGCAAGCTGAAAATGAACTGCGGCTGCACTAGAGCCCCACCCTAGGGTGATCTTGAAAGACAATGGCAAGGGACATTCTCCCAATGAATAAATCCTCTCACACTTTGTGTGAACAGAAATGTAGGCAAGGTTGGAGTATATATGGACTCAGGGCACTAGCAGATGGCTCGGCTGGTTGCTCAGGAGCCTGGGAGGAGAAAGAAGATGAAGGACACAGAGGTCTGGGATAGAGGGATGTGGATGGATTATGTGTTTGGGCAAAGGAGTGTGCAGATGCCCACCAGAGAGCACCTACCGTGAAAGAGGCACTAAACAACCGAGTAGGAAGAGTGACTCACCAGCTGATATCAGCCAGATGCTATGAGCCACCTCAGTGCTAGCGATGCATGGAGTAGCCACGGTGGCAGGGATGAGAACAACACATGGACCCAAGAGCATGGGCTCCCCTTCACAAAGGGGGATGTAGCTACTGCCACTGCTGAATGTCCAGTCTGCCAGCAATGAAACCAGTGCTGAGCCCCCAAAATGGCAGTATGCCTCATAGACAACAGCCGGCCACTCGACGACAAGTTGACTGCATTGGATACCTTCCATCCTGGAAACAGCAGCAACTTCTTTTGATTGGAGTTGCTGCGTTCCGGGTACGGTTTGCCTTTTTTGCCTGCCGGGCCTCAGCCAGCACCACTATCTTGAGTGTTTACTGAGTGTCTGACACATTGACACAGGGTCCCACATAACACCGAATCAGACCAAAGGGCCCATTGCACAGCAAAGGAGGTGTGACAGTGGCACATGACCATGGAATCCACTGGCCCTACCACATTCTGTACCATCCAAAAGACGCCAGCCTGAACAGAGAGAAGGAGTAGCCTGTGAAGGCACAGCTGAGGTGCCAGCACAGAGATGCTACCAACTAAGGATGGGCATCATCTCCAGAACACGGTTTATACTCTATCAACAATCAAGAGACTTCCCTGACAGTCCAGGGGTTAAGACTTCACCTTCCAATGCAGTGGGTGCGGGTTTGACCCCTGGTCGGGGAGCTGAGATCTCACATGCCTCATGGCCAAAAAAAAAAAAAAAGAAACCAAAACATAAAACAGAAGCAATATTGTAACAAATTCAATGAAGATTTTTTAAATGGTCCACATCAAAAAAATCTTTTAAAAAATCAGTATGGGGCTTCCCTGGTGGCGCAGTGGTTGAGAGTCCGCCTGCCGATGCAGGGGACATGGGTTCGTGCCCCGGTCCGGGAAGATCCCACATGCCGCAGAGCGACTGGGCCCGTGAGCCATGGCCGGAGCCTGTGCTCCACAACGGGAGAGGCCACAACAGTGAGAGGCCCGCGTACCGCAAAAAAAAAAAAAAATCAGTATGGTGCTATGTCCCAATAGGAGGAATAAATAGGTCCAGGAACCAAGGGGTGGAAGTAGGAGTGGCTCCATTTACCATTAATCCCAGTGATCCCATTGGGGTATTTATGTCACCACAACTCTGAGCTTTGAGGGTTTTGAGGAAATATCTCCATCCGGAGATGCAGCGTAAGTCCCATTGGACCCATTCGCAGTTGCCACCAGGCACTCTTGAGCCAAGGGACCAGGAGGCAAGCAGGAGTCACCATCCCGGCAGCAACAACTGACCCTGATCCTCAGGAAGAGCCAGGCTGCAGTTTCACAATGGGAGCAAAAAGGAAGATGTGTGGCAAGCAGACAATCCAGCTGGGTGTCTCTCTGTTACACCCTTGCTCACTTTTGATGGTAAATAGACGAGTGCAGCAGCCGTGACCTAAAAGGGGCGTGGTGACCAGGGACTCTGCAGAGGTGCTTCCTGCGGGTGAGAAGAATCGAAACCGATAGTAGAGGAGGGAGGTGATGAGTATCAGTTGGGGCCTCAAGACCAGCTGCAGTGGTGGAGGCTATGGTTCATCCCATTAACCATCAGTTTCCCCCCAGAAAAAGCAGAGTTGCTCCCAGAACTTACACAAAGAAGTGGATCTGAGTGGCATAAGGAGTAGCAGACACCAGGATATGCAACCCAGGTGGACCTTCATGACAGAAGGGCTTCTGCCCCTTGCTTCTGGAAGTATTGCTGGAAGACAGCCCTCAGTTATCAGCCCTCTTCAGGAATTGAGCTTCCTCACCCAAAGTCACAGCCTCCTCTCTGGGGACAGCATGCATCCAATGACCGGCTGAAGCTGCGGTGTAAAGGCCTGGTCCCCTCACCCCAACTCAGGACAAGTCAAAAGGCCGTCCCAGTTTCAGAACTCTCTGTGGGGTCAGCTGAGGCCTTTGTCAAGACTACTTGGCACCTCACCTTCTCCATCTGACCAAGCCTGCTTCCTTCCCTTCCTCCATAGGTGTGGAAC